TCATGCATCTTTTGGTTTCTTGCGAGAGAAGGCAACGAAGGAGGGCGAAGGAGGCCTCCCGTCAGGACTTCTTCTCGTCCAAGCTGATGGGCTCCACCGCAGGCTCAGTGTCGGGCGCCTCGGGCACCGGGTCCGGCGACGAGGGCGAGTACTACCACAACTTCAACCCCATCCGCACGGGGGGAATGCTGGCGCCCCACGGGAAGGCTATCGCGCCGGCCTCGATCAAGGCGGTCTCTCCGACCCCCTCTCAGACCAAGGTTTGTCGGTGTTCCCGTCGTCACTCATCATTTCAATTTCGTCTTTCTGTTGGCAGATACATGTGGTAGTCGAAGACAAACGTAGCGATGTGATTTAGCTTTTGTTGCATTGTATGGGCACCTTATATTTCTTTGCGCTTTTGCGCCCGACTCGTCCTGTGTTTCCTTCTCTCTGTATGCCTTTCAGCAAACGGAGCTTTTCACGAACCTGATGGAAGCGACCCCGCCCCGTGGCGACCCCATCTACACGGAGATGATCGGAACGCTGGGACTTTTCGGTACCTTCTACATGTCCAAGGAAGACATGGACTTCTGCGCCATGCGGCTGTACAGCAACTTCAAGCAAGCCCAGGAGAACATGGAGCGCCACGCTATCCTGGACTCAATCGATGTAAGTATTAGACGGTATATAGACGGAGAGACTAGAAGAGACAGCACCATCTTGTTTTGTTCTTTTGCCTCTTTTTCCCACGGAACGGTTTCGGGGGGTTATTCGCCACATGAGCAGGGAAGGTTTCGGTGTCCCAGTAATCGCAGCGCCCGTGTTTGGTTCTCGTTGGCCAATGTCACCAACGTCATCTCTCTCTCGCGCACGTCTGTGTGTGCATTTAGGTCATGCCCGAGATCTACGATATCCTGCGACACTGCGAGGACAGCCACCTGACGGCGGACGAGAAGTCTCTGCTCGCTACGCAGCTGGCGCCTCACTGGACGAACTCGGAGGAAGCGAGGCGGGCGCTGGAGACGGCGGTTGTGTACACGGAAGCCGAGGAGGAGGCGGAGTTCTGGCAGGGTTTGCAGGCCAGTTTACCAGCGCTATTTTGTATTTTGCTAAGCGGTCTATTAACTAGTTGGTATGTGCGCCATGTTGTCACGGTTTTTTTTTCGATCGCCTTCCCACTGCTGTGAACCAAAACCCTGACCTGCGACCGGCGAGCACGCTCCCGTGTGTTTGTAGTTTTTCCAACAACAATCGTTCGGCCTTGTCTCTTGTGTTGCTGCCTACTTGACTGGTGCACGTTTTTTTTTCCCTTACGCGCAGGCTGCAACCGACTCCCTATCGAGGTACGACCAGATCATCGTGACGGCGCGAATCGTCCTCATGTTCGACGGCAGCAGTGGGCAGTCGGCGGCCATCCGCGAGGCCGTCCCCCTGTTCCAGCAGGTGTACAAGATCATCCGGGCCAAGTGCCCGCAGTGGCACGAGGGGAATGTGCAGCTGATGGGGGTGTACCTGGCCATCACGTTCCTCGAGTATGGGCTTAACTCGCAGACGCTGGGGGCTGATGGCCAGAGGTGAGGGGGGGCGGGGGGGGGGAGG